CACAGCGGGAGCAGCAGACGGCGCAGAGTCCGGGGAGGATCGGCCTGACAGATCTCCAGGCGGCGATCCCGAGGCAGATTCTGCCGCCAGGTCTGCGGGAACAGATCCCAAGGGAGATTTGCTCCCCTGATCCTGGCACATGAAATATGGCCCTATTGGGCAGATTTCTTCACCGTTTTCAGCTCCGTTTTTTTTCAGCATGGCTTCCTGCATCATCATACAACTCAGGCAAAGTGGTGAGAGGGTTAGTCATAGTAGGATCATTAGAGCTATACTCCCCTGGATCAAGGTCGGTTAGGGTAGGAGGGAGAAGTAGAATTTCTTTCCGAAGCAAAGCACCGGCATTTGGATGTAGATCAGCAAAGGGGAATTTAGTTTCGTCGAATACAACATCACGAGATATGTATACTCGACCGGTAGAAACGTCTAGACACTTGACCCCCTTGTGTTGAGTGCTATATCCAAGAAAACCACATTGTTTGGACCGAAACATTAATTTGCGAGAGTTGTATGGTCGGAGATTGGGCCAACAGGCGCATCCAAACACACGAAGTGATGTATAGTTTGGTTTGGTATGGAGAAGCCGTTCGGTAGGTGTTTCATTATTGATCACTCGACTAGGAAGCATGTTGATGATGTGAACAACCGTGAGGAAAGCTTCGTCCCAAAATTTTAGGGGCATGGAAGCACCGGCAAGGAGGGCCAAACCGACCTCTACTATGTGCCTATGCTTGCGTTTGGTGGAGCCGTTTTGTTGATGAGCGTGAGGACATGATACATGGTGAGATATGCCAAGAGTTTGAAAGAAGGAATTGAGCTTCTCATATTCCCCCCCCCCCTCCCCCCAGTCGGATTGGACAACAATAATTTTGCTATCAAACTTACGTTCTACAAGTGCTTGAAAATTTTTGAACACTTGAAAAACGTCAGATCTTTTCTTGAGGAGATAAATCCAAGAAAATTTGCTATAGTCATCAATGAAGCTAACATAATATGTGTGTCTACCCACCGAGGTAGGGGCAGGCCCCCAAACATCAGAAAAAATTAATTGCAAAGGTTGAGTAGAAACACTGGTAGATATGGGATAAGGTAATTGATGACATTTTGCTCTTTGGCAAGAATCACAGATAGTTTCACTATGTCGCTCACCAACAAACGGGAGCTTATTTTTCCTAAGCAAGCGTTCAACTAAAAAAAAGATGCATGTCCTAAACGATCGTGCCATCGTGTGGAGGAAAGCTTGATAGCACCACAAGCTTGTTTGTTTGATCTTCTAAACTCCGGAATCAACGGGTAAAGCCCTCGAACACATCTACCGCGGTAGAGTACCTTCCTCGTGGCCTGATCCTTGATCAAAAAGAAGAAAGGATGAAATTCAATGAACACATGATTATCAATAGTGATACGATGAACGGAGAGAAGATTTTTGTTGGCACTAGGAACATGCAGAATTTTTCTAAGGTGAATTTTGCGGGAAGGGGTACGTATAACAGAATGACCTATATGACTTATCCTCATACCTGCACCACTTGCCGTGTGGATCTGGTCCTTCCCATGGTATTTCTCACGGAGGGTCACCTTCTCGAGCTCGCCCGTGAGGTGGTTTGTGGCACCGCTGTCGAGATACCAGTTGGTATCCACACCATAGGACCCGTCGGCGGCGGCAGCAACCTTGTCTTCTTCATCCGAGGAGGCTTCATCTTCATCAAAGCGATACCAGCAATCCTTGGCCGAGTGGCCAGGCTTGCCGCAGATCTGGCAGCGTACGGCATCGGGTCGTGACCGTCCCGAGCCGCCACTGCCGCTGCCGCCCCCGCCACGGCGATCCTTGTTGTTGTTGAAGTTAGGGCGCCCGCCACGGGAGCCGGAGTTGCTGGAGCCACCACCACCTTGCTTGCCCTTGTGTCGAGGAGGTCCACGGGTACGGGATGAGTACCCGCCGCACCCGCAGGTGGCCGCGTTTGCCGAAGACTTGAAGCCGCCGCCGGTGCTATGGAACTGCGTGACACGCCGATCAAAGTTGCTCAGCATGGCGTACAGCTCATCGAGGGAGACCGGCGTGACGCGGGCATCGAGGGCAGAGACAAGGGGCTGGTAGTCCATGTCCAGCCCGTGAGCAGGTAGGAGATCAACTCATCATCTTGGATGGGCTTGCCGGCCGCGGCGAGTTCATCGGCCAGGCCGCGCATAGAGGCATAGTACGCAGCAACAGATTGGTTGCCCTTCTGTGCGTTGATCAAAGCAGTGCGAATGTTGTTAACACGACTCGGAGATTGAGAGGAAAACATGCCTGCGAGCGCCGCCCAGAGAGCGTGCGCGGTGGTGATCGCGGTCACCGTGATCAGCACTTCCTTGGAGAGGTTGTTGAGGAGGTAGCCGAGCACTTGTTGGTCCTCCCGCACCCAGATGGGATGGAGAGGGTTCAGCTCGGTCGTCTCCTTGCCTTCCTTGTCCTTGGTGACGAGGAGGCAGGCGGGCTCCGGCATGGTTCCATCGACATAGCCGAAGAGCCCGGCTCCCCTCAGCTGCGGCGTAACTTGCGTTCGCCACAGGACGTAGTTCGTCCGAGAGAGCTTCTCCGTGACTTGGCCGCTGAGATTGGATTGAGCGGCGCTGGAGGAAGACATGGCTTGGCACTAGATGGCAGCTAGGGTTTTGAAAGAGGAGGCTCTGATTACCATGTGCGAATAGGCGAAAGCGTCTTACCCTCGGTGTGAGGGGGCGCGTTGCATGTTATAGGCGCAGGGGCGCACCTCCCTGGCAGATAGCGCATACAAGTTTGTTGGAGAAGATTACAACTTGGGGAGAAAGAGATAGAGAGATAAGAGGTTTACAAGATATTGAACTACTTGTCTAACAACCTAGTCTATCTCCTGGACATCTCCTTGTGCGCCAAGTCTGGACTCCAACGTGACATGAATATGTGTTTAACATGTGGAACTATGACATGTTTTAAGTGCAATAATACTAGAAACGGGTAAAGTTGTCTAGTCGCATCACTAGAAATTATTTAGTCTTAACTCAGTTCTCAGAATGATTGATTCGAGAAGTATAATCGTGTTTTAGGAGAGGGTTTGACTTAAGAGAGGCGCCTCCCCCGATCACACCCCTCTTGATCCTTCAGTCCCACTTAATCCCAACTCTTTTGATCATACAAAAGGTTTCCCTCGATTCCTTCTTGGATATCTTTGGGGCGTTTCATTCCTATTGGATCTGATGTTTCACAAACTAGATCCTACTATCTGTTTTTCTCCACCATAATGCTCATGTTTCACAAGCCATGGCGTTGCATTTGCAAAAATACGGCTGGAGGTAGCGCTGGGGAACCGCCTTGCTGGCGGGCTCGTTGTGGACTTTGTGGGCGCAACTCTCCATGCTTGGTAAACCTCCGCACTCCATCGATCCAGGAACCATGTGGCGGGAGACGGGTTGGGAAGAAGAAAGGTGGTCGCACAATGGGGAGTGGGCCATGAGGAAAGCGTGCCGTGAAGAGCGACGATGGGAAGGGTGGGGTCAAGCACAAAGTAGGGAGGAGGAGAGGTGGCCGGGGATGGGGGTTTGGTGGGGTTTAGGGTGGAGCCGTGTGTCTATGCTGTCGGGCGAACATTTTAGACATCCTCATTTTTTTGCGTGGAACCTTGGCGCAGTGGTAAAGCTGCTGCCTTGTGACCATGAGGTCACGGGTTCAAGTCCTGGAAACAGCCTCTTACAGAAATGTAGGGAAAGGCTGCGTACAATAGACCCAAAGTGGTCGGACCCTTCCCCAGACCCTGCGCAAGCGGGAGCTACATGCACTGGGGCTGCCCTTTTTTAACTTTTAGGCTGCCATGACCGTTCTGGTAGTGATAGCGGTCATTTGGTGGTCAAGGTGCTTTATACTTCTAATGAACTTCTATAATAGATCTAGATCTTTTCACATAAAAAAAACAAAAATGGAATGTCAAATGGAAAGCCCAAAAGAGAAAATAGACTTACAAGGATGTGTCATGAACACCGTTTCTACCTTACCACGCCATGTGCACCCAGCACCCACGGTAAGTAAAGTTGTCGAAGGAGCTCTACATCATCGTAAAACCTCTAAATCAGGAATGCCATGGTGATATTGGTCCAGAGTTCCAACAGTCAGGAAAACGCTCTAATGTTCAGCAGTGCCTATTTTCCACTTAGATTGCTTAAATATCGAATCAACCAACTATGAATGGAGCAATGGGGGTGGTTTTACTTGCACCTAGAAACTACATGCATGCTACTCTGTTTGCAATAGGGTAGTACTAATGCTGTATTAGCTGTTGCAACTGAACAAACAAACTGTACCGATTTGCTCGCAGTTCCCCAACCAGGGAGAGCAGTGAGGCGTAACCTTCTGATATTTCAGAACAAGATGTTCATAAATGTCAAATAGCACCAATGGCAAGTTGGCCCACATAGGTCTGGAATCGATGGAATTCGTCTGAAATGCTATGTCTATTTTCATGTGCATAAGCACAAAATAAGTTCTAGAACAGAAAAGGGCCACCGTGTGTTGTTTCATCACCAGAGACCGGTGTTGCGTTCAGCACGCTACTGCACAAAAACCTGCAACGAGCGGTGTCCGGCAACCTGATCTTATCTACCGAAAATCCAGTGCGTTGTCACCACAGCTTTGCTTACTGAAAATGGGAGGATCGCATCATAGATATCATCAGTCGGAAAAAACCGAAGCCATTATTTTGTTAGTGATGCAGGAAACACGCGCTCTCTGCTACACTTCTAACCGGATCAGTGTACATGATACAATGGCCAGGAAACAGCAAATGCCAACCAACATGAAAATCATGGAGGCACTTGCCCAGGAGAAGATGCTAAGCCTCTGCAAGTTACAAGTTCTGCCAGTCTATGGTTTACAAGTTACAGGTCTATTACTACTATACATACAACTGATCTTCTCCTCTGGTTTCCCGTCTATATGCCCTTTCCCCCCGTATAGAAGAATGAAATAATTACGACCGTCTGCTCTTACCCTAGCATCTTCTAATGAGCCCACCCACATTCTGGGCGATGTCTTGTTTGGTCTCCACTGAAACAGGTGGGTCACCAATATACATATCGAAGAAAGCCCCTGTTCGTAAAGACAGTTTAATATAAAAAAATATTACAACTCGGACTACATAAGAATTCTAGCTTTAAGTAGATTATCTATAGTTCTGTTGCAGAAAAATATATAGATGCACTTACTGCAAAGATCTTTGCTCTGGACAGCGCCAATTTGTTTGCCATCAACTGCACACATATTTCCTTGTTAACGTATATTATGGTGGAAAATAACTTAAATCATACTAAAGAAACAATTATACTATGAACATTTACTATACAACATAAATATACTATGCATACATATACCACGATGGGCCTAATGATACTGATTTGGTGATGTGGATGTTGAATTTATTTTTTCATAAATTTTGGTCAAACTTAAGAACTAGTTTGACGAGGGAGCACTTATTGTTATATACGTATGTACTAACCTTCAGTTATAAGCTGGCCATCACATGTTTGACGGAAGTCAATCTTTGTACCCTGCAGTTAAACCGATCATAGTATCACATGACTAAACGCAACAAATCATATTAACCAGATGAGACTAGAAGCTTTACCACAGGTATTCGAATGTCTTCCCTGAAGTAAGAGCCAAATGTCTTCAGGCAATGGTAATCAGTATTAGGATTCATCTGATCGTACAGTAAACAAAAAGCTCTGTTAAGCCTATACGGATAGCAAAGAATATTAAACTAGTTGCTGAATGAATAACAATCACCTTTTGCAGTCGAAAGCCAAGAGATTTCTCAAACGCACTGAAAAGTTTGGTAATACAAATAATCAATTAACTTCAATCTTGCATTGGCCATATCTTCTGAACCATAGATAAGGATCAAAATATACTACTGTTAGCATGAGAATTCAAGAATACTTACTCTTGCACTGCACTAATGCTTTGTAGCTAACTACCAATCTGACTGTCATATGAATATTTTCCCTGCATAACAGGCCAAGTATAATGCAAATTCTATTAGAAACAGAGGCAAATGAGTTGCAGGTGCGGAAGAAAACGAATGTTTCTGGTGTTGTATCAGGGAATAAGAAAAATCCTACACATCATCAAAACTCGTAAGCGTACAGCGTCCTAAAGATGGAATCTACTAATAGCAGGTAAATCGGGAGTCCTAAACATGACATGAAAGAATTGCAAGTTTGGAACCGTCTCTCTATGAACAGAAACGTTAAAGGACTATCTTTCTTGACGATTTCCAGAATTTTTTCCAGATGGAACCGTTTCTCTAGCTCAGCTTACACAAGTGTTACATGTACTCCCTCCATATCAAAATATAAGACATTTTTGTAGGCTAGTTTAGCCTATAAAAAATTCTTATATTTTGGTACAGAGGTAGTAAATAGGCTGTGTAAGCTCAAGAATATGGGAAAGATCTTCATACAAAGAATTTCAACACATGTACATGATCAATAAAGCATTCACACCTCAGAAGATCTTCATAGAAATCTGGGTGATCCTTTAACTCGGCAACTGGAACAGAAGCATACTTTGAACCCAGCTTGTTGCAGATAGAATCTGGTTGTATATCTATAAGAATAGTCGAGTACAACATCAGTAACTCAAATGAACATCCTTTAAGAAGTACCTCAGTCTGTTATCAGTTCACAAGTAATAGCAGCATGCCGGGAAATTTAGCCTACTCACATAATCCAAAGGCATAAAGATTCAGGTTTTTGACCTTCATTATCCGCATACTTCTGTAACCCATCCCGACAAGCACCTGTAAATTTAATTGTTTGTTGTCAAAGGGAATGCTGAAGGCCTAGGGAAGATTACAAATTTGGTAAAACATTGTGACACTGTCAAAACAACAAGATACAGACAAAAGTGCCCAGATAATTGCCACGATACTGGGAGCAGAACATGTAATAGGGCAACAAGAAAGGAAACAATGTTTGACTGGTATGAAGGAAAATGGTGCATGACACAATTATCCACAAAATAGAGTAGGAAAAAGGACCTCTGCGGCTGGATTTGAATTCTCCTCAAGAAGAGTAGGGAACTTGATCCCAGTTCTTGGTTCTGTCAGATCTTCCGGATATATTGTTCTTGGCACAGCAACACGAGCACAACCTGGGCGCCTTTCGTCCAAATAAGGCTGATCAACATGTTCTCCGATTTGGTCAACACCATCTTTTCCCAACATCATTGAATCCGCAAGCATCTTTGGCGATCTTATCGATGCATGTAATGATGATCAGTTAATAAAGCAACAAACTGAAATAAAAGCATAGCCTACAGGAACAAACGGGACAGAGAAAGGAAGCAGTAGCAATCCAACAAGATATATCATGATAGAGCATTGTATTCCCTTTCTATGAAAAGCAGGGGTTCGAACCTTACATGTTTTCAAATGGTGGTATTACACTAGCAGCGGCTAGCATAAGAATGTTACAGGCATGACGCTCCTCAACCTCATTCCACGCTCGCCCAAGCGTTGCGTTTGCAAGCTTGGCTAAGAGCATTTGTATAGCATGCTCTTCTCTAGCTTGCAATCCAGCCAGATGCTGCATGCAAGAGGTCACTTGCTTTATTTGTGCCCGACAGGCTCTTGAACCAGAGCCCGCAATAGCAGACAACCTGTGTAAAATATTGGGATTTGTTGCTCTGGAAAGGCAGAAATAGAAAGCTCCAGCGACCTTGTTGAAGCAGCTGAATGCTTCCTGAACTGCGCCACTTCCTGTAGAGCATACATGCCGCGGATGCTGAAAGGAACTCTCGACTAAAGCCCCGACTTGTGATATCAATCCTAACCCGATGTCATGCGACATTGGAGAGCCAATTGGAAACTTATGCAGGTATCCTCCATTATGATCAAGCTTGGAGAAAATGAACCAATCAGGTTTCATAGTGCTGCCAAATATTGCAACTTGAGAAGTCTTTAAACCAAGTCGGGGAGTTTGCCAACACGGGAACTTAACCGGATCTGTCAATTGGAACAGAGGAACTGAATCAGGACACACATGTAACACATATTCAGTGCCTGCTTGCAGACAAAAGTTTTACGACAGCACCGGTCAAAATGTATGAGCTAATCTCCAACGCAGCCCTCATGTTCTCTTGAAAAATTACTTTCTGATTCATCATTACGCGATACTTATTACACTCTAAGGAGCCATCCTTTCACCACACATCAACTAGTGATTTTTTACCCCTTATTAAGCCATCCACAGTAGTTGACATAACAAAGCAAGCCATTCACAGTAGTTGGCATAAGGAAGCAAGCCATTGACAGTAGTTGGCGTAACGAAGCAAGCCATTCACAGTAGTTGGCGTAACAAAGCAATAAGTAACCATCCGAAAAACAGCAATTGGAGCTCCCCAAAATCATCCATTATCACAAAAAGGAAAAGGAAATCTTATGATCTCACTGACGCCAAGGAAAAATACAGAAAACGCAGAGAAGCTACACACAAAACGGTTCTAGCCAGATGAGAATTTCCTCTCCCTCGCCGCAACTAAAGCACTTGGTACAGAAATCCCACCTTCTGTACAGAAATCCACAAGCCCAACCAACACCCAGAACGCCCGGATCAGCAGCAAACACGCCCTGATCCCGCAGCCTCCGCCAGATTCACACACAAGAAACACCACCAAACCCATCATTCACAGGCCGCCCCCAAATCCTGACGCCAGCCAAAAATCCCCCCACGAATCAACCACTTACACCGCCCGCATTCCGCCGGTCGTCCCATCTAGAGCGAGACGCGCGCATAAATAAAGAAGGGACGGAAAATAACAGCTGAAGGAAGAAGCGCACCAGAGCTTTTGCCGCACGGAATCGCGCGTTGTCGTCGGCAGATCGGGGAGGCGGCGGCTGCCTCTGCGTGCGCGAGCCGTCTGGCGGTTGTGGAGGGGGGAGGATGCCGTGCGGTGCGCCGGTGGCTTCGTCCGCCGGCGTTCCCCCGGATTCCAGACCGAACCCAGGGGAATGGAATGGGGGAGGGCAGCTGGGCAGGGGGGAAGGTGGCGGTGGTGAATGAATGAAGAACCGAAAGCGAGAGGATTCGCTTTCGTGTTAACTCGCCTCCCCAACTGCTGCCAGAAACTTTCTCGACGGCGGCGGCTGGCTGGCTGGCCGGCTCTCCCCCGTCCGTGCGTGCGTGCGTGCGTGCGAGGCGAGCGGCACGTGCGCTGAACTGATGCCCTGCTTTGGGGTTTGGGATCGCCGGGTCGGCGTCCGCCTGATTTGATTTGCTACGGGTTTATAAGACGAACCGGGATCCTTGGCGTGTTGGCCCTCTTGTTATTATACGTCCACACTCTTCTCAGACTCGAAAGAAATCTCTACTCCTAATGTCTCAGTTGGTAGGTCGCGTTCCGGGTTTTATTTTCGTCCCACCTAACCCGGTCTATTTTGGTACTTCTTTGGTACTACTTCCCACCTTCCTCCAACCGCGGAAAACCAAAAAAAACCCCGCGATGGAGTCCCGCACCCGCACAACCTCCCATTCTTATCATCTGAGATGAACGTAAAAAAAAAACTGAAAAACCGCTGGCCACAGACCGTCTAAGATTAACCAGCGATAAAAAAACGGCATTGGTCTCGAACGAGTACTCGTGCCCTCGAGCGAGGTCTCGTGTGGATCTTGCGAGTGCCCTCCTTCGCCCGCCGCCGCCCATCGGTCCTTCCCCGCCATCCCTCCATTGCTCCCTCCTCGATCCCGATCTGGATCGAGGGGACGAGGAGCTCGTGCCTCCCCGACGGCCGGCCTCCTCCTCGCCCCGCCGCTGCGTCCGGCGCCGCCATGGCCTCTGGAGCCAGGGAAGCCATGGCCTGAGCTCGGCCTCGAGGTCCCCGCCGCCGTCTCCTGCAGCTTCTGCCCCGCCGCCTCGCCGCCCGAGCTCGCCGTCGCACCAACCTCGGCGCCGCGCCGACGCCGGCTCTGGTCGCCTCCACCTCCGCGCTGTGAGGAACCCACCACGCGTGTCAAGGCGAGGCGCCTCCTGGGCTGCGTCCGTTTCCAGAGCGAGCGCCCGTGAATACCTAGCTAGCCGCCGCCGTCGTGACCGTTCCAGCCACCGCCAAGGTAAGGTGCTTTCTCAATCTCAATTTCCTTCCTTCCCCATCAAGGTTAATTTGGATGCGTACTTATGTGATTTTGGTGTTGCTCATTGGATTTGTATACGTACGTACGTGTGTCTTCGATCTGCTTCGTTTAGATAAGTTGTTAAGTAATTCACATCTTCCCCGTTACGATACGTGCATGATCTTGTCTTGTGCTCTTCTGCTCATTGGACTGATGCATGAAGGACAGGAGCTTGCACAGAGTTTTTAGTAGAAGACGGCGTAAATTGTGGTATTGGCCGCAATCTGGAAGTTCTTCAGGTGAGTGACATGATTTAATTTGGAGAGGCACGAGTTAGGATGCAGTCACATATTTTTTAATGGTTTCTTCCTATTCCTTGTGATATTATCAAGATTTTCTAATTGAACTGAAGTTCTATAACCTTCCAGATCCAAATCCTGCTTCAGAAAGTGTATATGAAGCAAAGGTCTGCACCTACATGTTATCAGAAGTCAAGTCTTAGACAAGGTAATGTTTTTCTATCCGATGAACTAGACTAGGTAATGTTCAAACTTGGAAGTGATCAAATCATATGTTTTCAGGTTTGTCATTGTCCATAGATTCAATCTTCCCCCCTTTCTCTATTGACATACTTCTAGGAGCTGCAATGCTCAAATTGCCACGGATCTTAGACTGGTGTCAAGATGCTATTGATAAGATTTTGAATTGCATCAAACGGTTTCAGGTTTTTTCTTCAATTTCAGTTAAGATGTTCATGTTCTGCTTATAACCAGGTTTAAATATCGTACTGTTGTTTTCTGCTGTGTCATTTGTTCATGTTCGTTCACATGAACATTACAGATTCAGCTACACATGAATTTGTGTTAGATCAATTGCAATTTTAATTATTTTGGCCTGGGATACCACTTCAACATGTTTGAAGTATAAGATATTCATTGTTATTACTCCAGTAAGATATCCCCCTTTGATAATATTGCCCTATTCCTTTTCCTTTTTTCAGGAAAGTGGAAGGAGTGATGAAGAACTAAAACATAGTTACAGTGGGCGTTTTTTATAGGAACAAAACTGAAGAATTTGACATTAACATAATTTTAGTACTAAATCAGGTGTCCCTGGTTTTGTTAGCATCAGGACATGTTGACCTAATTGTCCATGGTTACACTCATCTTCAAACGGCACAACTTGTTTTGCTGCACATCTTCTCTTACCATATGATGAACAGGTATTCTATGTTCCATCCCTTTCTTATTTCACACTGCATTAACACTGTTTTTTCAGTATGTGGATTTGCCTAACTTTGCCTTATAGATTATTGATTTTGTTACTGATGTGTACACAAACCCTGCCTAATTAATTTAGTCTACTATATCTAACCTTATGAAATCTGAAAGTTGATTCGGACTACTTGCCTGGTGGTGTGGTACATTACCTCTGTTTTTTTAACTATGGGAGCAGAACGACGGCGCCGACATGGATGACTCGGAGCTCAACCTTGTCAAGGGCCGCGAGCAGCGGCGACTTTCTTTTCCACGAGAAGATGACCAAGGGCGCCATCGGCCACTTTGTCTTCGCCGTCGAAGAGTCCAAGCTCGTCTCCGCATCGGTTGCATTGGTGCCGATCAGGTGCTAATCTGAATCCTTGTCCAATTTCAAGTGGCCTATAAAAAAAACCAGGGTTGAATGCACATTACCATCACACTGCCATTTAGTTTTCATTGGTACGCAATACTATCGTTACAATTCTTTTTGGCCATTTTGTCTTTGTCTTTGTCCATGGTCAGGTCATGGTTTTTAGGCTTGATTGTTATGAGTCAGTAAGGTTAGAATGAGCGGTAATGGTTTAACTAATCACGCCTGCATGTTTTTAGTATCACTAATTCTTCCAAATCCCATCTAAAGGAAAGAAAACTACCTGATGTATTACTAACACTTCTATAGGCATACTAGCCCTGGATTTATGAGTGACAATTCCAGTATAGTTGAGGGGTGCCTATTGGTGGTCTTTCTATAGCAGCATTAAATGGATGACTACTAGCAGTACCATTGTCTCTGTCAATTTTGTACCTGCCATAGAAAGATGACCCCTATTCTCTATACATACCTGAGAATATTGTAGTGTTAGGAGATTAGCTTTTACTTCTTTCCATTGATTGCTACAGATTTTGAGAGAACACTGTTGTCCACGTTTATATCATATACTTCCAAATTATAAAGCGTTCTTGTTATATGTAAGTTACCTGTTATCCACACAATGCAAGTAGTGGTTCAGAACTACAGAGAAAGGAAGCACCAATAATTTGTTTCTTCATTTCTTGTTGGTGATAAAAATGGATTTTGCTTTGCGATGATCCTGTGTCGGTGCCTTTGTCTCTATCAAATATTAGGGGTAATGACTTTTCTGTGCTGGATCAACATGCAGAACTTGCGCCCACCTTGAGGCCATTAATCCAGGGAAGTCAATTTCAGTATATTCAGGACATAGCCAGTAGCTTAGCAATTTCCACGACTATGTTTTGTTTAAAATAAAGTTGTATGCAGAATATGCATGATGCTCTCTTTTATCAAAGTATACACATGTGTCTATTTTGTCATCCAGTTGCAATGCACGGGAACCTTCGATTTGATTCAGTTTTATCTTCTACTGTACATAGGGAAATATGGACACTGGATGAGCCTGTTATACAATACAGTCGTGCACCTCTATCGCGTCGAGAAGGACAGGAATTCTCAGGAGAGTTTTCTCCCTTTCGCAGGATACGCGAGACTGTGCGACGTCCGCTGGACAAAGCGGTTGGACTATTTGAGACCGCTTGACATGA